CCATCATTGTTGTTTGGCGGGCCCGGGCTGGGGATTCGAACCCGCCACCTTAGGTGTATCTGGCTGGTGCCTTAGCCGCTTGAGCCACAGCCGCTGAGCCTCAACTTATTGTTCTAAAGGACAGAGCTCCACCCACAACAGTAAGCAGCATGTAGTTTTCCTCCCCACAGCATGATCTGACCTGACTTTATTGGGTGGCAAAACCTGAACTGAACATTTTTTAAATGTACTTAGTAGTACAATTTTAGTTAGTAGTCATAGGTTCGGTTGGAGAAATACAAATGCATTTTATTCCAAGTGTTGCTGTGGATCTTCCTGGAGATATTATATAAAATGCATAAACTATAGCATACACACTATTTTTCTTTCTTTTTTGTTATTTTAATTTTTGAGGTAAAATTTCATAAAACTTAAAATTAATTATTTTAAAGTATACAATTTAGGCTCAGTGCCTATGCTCAGTGGTTAGGGCACTGGCAACATACACTGGGGCTGGTGGGTTCGTACCTGGAAGTATACAATTCAGTCCTGACGTCATGAGTGCCTTGCCAAATGATGATGACGATGACGATGATGATAATAGTAACAATAATAACAATATATACAATTCAGTGGCATTTAGTGAACCTCTGCTTTATTATCATCCCAGAAAGATATCCCGTGTCCATTAATTAATCACTCCCTATTCCCCCTGCTTCCTGCAACCACTAATCTACTCTTCATCTCTATGGATTTACCTATTCTATTTCATTAAAAATAAATCATATAAAATATCATTTTTGTATGTCTGGCTTCTTTTACTTAGCATATAATATTCATGGTTCACTTCTATTATGGCCTGTATCTATACTTCATTACTTTTTATTTTTATTTTTTATTTTTTTTGCAGTTTTTGGCCAGGGCTGGGTTGGAATCCGCCACCTCCAGCATATGGGGTTGGCGCCCTATTCCTTTGAGCCACAGGTGCAGTCCACTTCATTACTTTTTATGGCTGAGTAGTACTCTACTTTTATTGATACACTACATTTTATTTATCTATTGTCCATCCTTCATCTGCTGATGGACATTTGGTATTCTACCATTTTACTATTGTGAATAATGTTGCTATAAATGTTGTGCAAATATCTGTTCAAGTCCCTGCTTTTAATTCTCTTGGGCATATACCCAGGGATGGAATTGCTGGATCATATGATAATTTTATGCTATACTTTTTGAGGAACTATCATACTGTTTTCCACTGCAGATGCACCAGTGTATGTCTTCATCAGCATACATCTCCATCAGCAAAGCATAAAGGTTCTAGTAATTCCATGTTCTTGCCAACACTAGTTATTTTCTGTTTTTATAAATAGTCCTTCTAATGAATGTAGAGTGGTAATCTTTTGTTTAGTGGAAGCATTTAGATATAAATTTTTCTGAGTACTGCTTTTGCTATATCCTATCAGTTTTAGTATGTTATATTTTCATTTTCATTTATCTCCAAGTATTATTTAATTTCCCTAAGGATTTTCTTTGACCCATTAAACACTTAGGAATATGTTATGTATTTCCATGTATTTACTTTTTTTCAGTTTTACTTCTGTTGTTTACTGTTTGCTTTATTTCATTTTCATTGGGGAATGTACTTTGTGTGATTTTATTTAAAATTTATTGAGAATTGTTTTATGGCCTAACAGTGTATTTTAGAGAATAATCCATGTGCACTTGAAAAGAATGTACATTCTGCAGTTGTTTGGTATAGTGTTCTTTTTATGTCAATTAGGTCTAGTTGGTGAATAGTGTGGTTCAAAATCTTCTATTTCCTTGTTGATTTTCTGTCTAGGAGAGACGTTACATTATCAAAATTAAGATATTGAAATCTCCAAATGTTATTAATAGAGCTGCTTATTTCTCTCTTTAGTTCTGTCAATGTTTGCTTTGGGGCTCTACTGTTAGGTACATATTTGTTTATAATTTTTATATCTACTTGATGAATTGAATTTATGGCCGAATATAATGTTCCATGTTGAACATATTTTCATGTTTGTTGTCCATTTATCTGTCTTTTGAAACAGATCTTTCATGATTTTTGCCTGCTTTTTGATGGGGTTGTTTTCCTCCTGTTGATTTGTTTGAGTTCTTTGTAGATTCTGGATGTTAGACCTTTGTCAGATGTGTAGTTTGCAAATATTTTCTCCCATTCTGTAAATTGTCTATTTACACTGTTGATTATTTATTATACTGTGCAGAAACTTTTTTTTTTGAGACAGAGTCTTACCATGTCACCTTTGGTAGAGTGCTGTGGCATCATAGCTCACAGCAACCTCAAACTCTCAGGCTCAAGTGATTTTCTTGCCTCAGCCTCCCAAGTAGTTGGGACTACAGGCATCTACCATAACGTCTGGCCATTTTTTTTGTTGCATTTGTCATTGTTGCTTACCTGGCCCAGGCCAGGTTTGAACCCACCACCCTCGGTGTATGTCGCTAGCACCATAACCACTGTGCTATGGATACTGAGCCTGTGCAGAAACATTTGAATTCCCATTTATTTATTTTTGTTATTTCTGTATTTGCTTTTGGGTCTTAATCATAAATTCTTTTCCTAGGTCAATGTCCAGAAGAGTTTTTCCTGCATTTTCTTCTAGAATTTTTATGGTTTCATGTCCTACATTTACATTTTTAACTCATCTTAGAGTTAATTTTTGTATATTGTGAGAGATAGGACTCCAGTTTCATTCTTCTGCATGTGGCTCTCCAGGTTTCTCAACACCATGTACACTATGTATCCCTGAGTTGAGTGCTATGGAGTCACAGCTCCCAGCAACCTCCAGCTCTTGGGCTTAAGTGATTCTCTTGCTTCAGCCTCCCAAGTAGCTGGGACTACCACAATGCCTGGCTATTTTTTGGTTGTAGTTGTCATTGTTGTTTGGCAGGCCTGGGCTGGGTTTGAAACCACCAGCTCTGATGAGCTACAGGTGCTGATCCCCCAGTATAAGTTTTTGTTATGTTAAAAGTCAGTTGATTGTAGCTTTATTTCTGGGTTCTCTATTCTGTTCCAGTAGTCACGTGTCTACCTTTTTACTAGGACCATGCCATTTTGGATACTATATAGCCTTGTAGTATAATTTGAAGTCAGGTAATGTGATACCTCCAGATGTGTTCTTTTCGCTTAGGCTATTCATGCTCTTTTTCGGTTCTGTATGAAGTTTGGGGTTATTTTTTCTAGGTCTCTGAAAAATGCTGTTGGTATTTTGATGGGAATTGTGGTGAATCCGTAAATAACTTTGGGCAGTATGGACATTTTAACAGTATTGATCCTGCCAATCCATGAGTGTGGGAAGTTTTTCCATTTGTTTGTGTCATCTGTGATTTCTTTCTTCAGTGTTTTGTAGTTCTCCTTGTAGAGATTTTTCACTTCCTTGGTTAAGTCTGTTTCTGGGTATTTTATTTTCTTT